CTCGTGCTCATGGGCCGGCGGGGCGTGCACGGGGGCATCCTCAACAAGAAGGTGCACGAGCTGATCCACTGGCTGCGCACTCGGGGCACCTAGCAGAGCAGCCAGGTGGCCGCGGAGACAAAATAAACTCAGACCTGGGAATGGCTGACTCATCCTCTGGTTGCAGGGGGTGGGGGTGGGACTTGTTACTGAGAAGTACACGGTTTCCTGGAAGGTCCTTGCAGAAAGGTCACCTGGTGGAGTTGGGATTATGACTCCCATTGGGTGCCCTCCCACTGGGTGCCCTGAAGAGGCTTCTGACCTGACTCCCCAGGCCAGAGTCAGGGGCGCGGGCCTTGGAGACTTCCCAGGGCCCTAGGGACCCGAAGCTGAGCTAGAGTCCCAGGGAGCAGCCTTCTCAAACTCTCTAGCTCAGACCTGAGCATCCGTTCCCACAAAACTGTCCTCACAGCCGTGCAGGAGGAACCCTAAGGGAATCTCCTCCCCACCTTCCTACACCCCTCCCGAGGCTGCACCTCAGTGTGCTTCTCGCCCCTTCCACTTGGCAAGAGGAAGCACTAGCAGGGGCTGTGAACAGGTGCCAGGTGTGGCTGGTAGCTTGGGGAGCGTCTCTGGGGCTACCAGTCTCTTGCATCTTCCCCACTTGCCTCCAAGAGGGTCGGTGGAGGACTGTGTCCAAGATCATCACAGCCAGGTCTGGGCCCTACAGCCTCCAGTCCCCTTGGGGCCCCAAGGCTCCACAGATGCCCTGGACTGGAGGGAGGCACGTTGGCACTTCCCACCCCTGCACCCTCCCCTGCAGGCCTCAGCTGGGGTGGGGGAGGCTACAGAGGAAGAGGAATTGAAAACTTGAGTGGGTTTAAATGAGACATGGCTTATTGTCAAAGATGGACAAGGGTAGGAGGAGGGAGGGTGGCTGGTTCCTGCCCCCCTGTATCCTGGCTTGTCCTGTGCACTCTGAACCTCCTGGTCCCCTCTCACCGTGGTCCCCATAAGCCCCACAAGTCACTTGCTTTGGGGAGAATTGATCTCATGCCAGAAAGAGGGAGGGAGGGAGGGAGTCAGTGAGGTAGGTGAGTCCAGAGACGAGAAGAAACCAGAGGTCAGCCTGGTGGGCTGGGGGATGGAGGTGCAGGGAGCCCTGTTAACATTGGCCTTGACCTTGGGGACTTTCAGGGAGTCTGGGCTGTGGATTGGACTCATTAAGGCAGAGCCAGGAGATGGTTGGGGTGAGCTTGCCGCTGGCTCTCCCAGGGCACAGCAGGCTGTCTTGGGAGGGGAGATAGTGCTGCTGAACTCCTAGCTATGGTCTCTCCTCCCCCCAAATGAGAACAAACAGATTTTCAAATGCATAATCAAAGTTTAATTCCTTTTTTCTTTTTTAAAATCAGGCAGTGTTGGGAAAGGGGGTTGTAGCAGTGATGCAGAAAGCTGGGTGAGGAAGAGGAGAATGGCATGGAGGAAGGGAAGTGGAAGGGAGAGGGTGAGAATTCAGCCAGTGACATCTCTGCACGAGCCAACAGCTGGGAGTCAGGTACTCAGACCCACCCTCATTCCCACCCAGCCTCGTAGGAGTTGTGTGGACACAAGTACACAAGCACCAGCCTTCAAACAATGTGCAAAGGACTGGAAGTCATCGCAGGTGCCCTGCAGCCTGCAGAGTGCCACAGGTGCGCCATGATGGACACACGTGCAGACTGACACAGGCTCACACAGCAACCTAGTCACGCAGCCCAGACCTCTGAGGCCTGCTCAAGGGCAGGAGCATGTACACAGACACACACCCCTCCCCTCCCACCCGGGCACCAGGCACAGGCCCTTCCCTGCCCCAGGTGGCAGTCTGGGCTGAAGTCTAGAGGCGGGTGGCATTGTGGTGAGCAGGCAGGGCAAGGCGGGGAGAGGGTGTGGCAGGGGGAAGCTCCTCCAGAAAGACCCTGGGGGGCAGTGGGGGTGAGCGGGGCTCGGGCCTGGCACAGCACAGGGTGGCGCGGGTGATGAGGCGGTCCAGGGGCTGTAGGGAGTGCATCCACCGGGGCAGGAAGTCCCATGTCTGCAGCCACTTGGGCAGGTGCCTGGGGCTGCGACTCTGCAGGACACTAACGAGCACCACGAAGACCAGCAGGGCCGCGAAGGGTGCCCCCACACCCACCATGGCCCACACGCCTGCCATGGAGATGCCAAATACCAGCGAGGGCATCAGGACAAAGCACAGCAGGAGGTAGAGGACGGCAAACCAGCGGTACTTGGCGGTGCATCTGCCTAGGGCCTTGGCCATGCGGATGGGCAGGCGGGTGCAGGGCACCGGGTACCACAGCAGGATGCCTGAGATGTTGAAGAAGAAGTGGCAGAGGGCGATCTGCAGAGAAGAGGGCAAAGGAGCTAAGGTGGGCACAGGCCCACTCCCAAGCCAGGACCGTGGGAACAGATACAGGGCCCGGCGCGGTCTGGGCAGTGGGAAAGTCACACTAGGGCTGACGTGCCCCCAGTAAAACACCGAAACACTTCTGGGCCGGTTGGCAAATAATCACCGCCCTGGACTCCCCACACCTCCCCCTCAAACCCCGCTTCTAGGAATTCCCCAGCTGATGCTGCCCAAATCCAGGAGCTAAAGGATTTCTCCTAGTTTCTGCCTCAGCAGTTCTGGCCTCCTGATGGGTCCCCACCCTGACCGGAGCCCCTGCTTGTCGTTACTACTTCTCCTAGAACAGCCACTGCTCTGCCGAGTCCCCCCTACTCATCCTTGATCCCCCAGACTGGCCAGGCCCCCTCTCACAGCACTCCCAGGGGAGTGCACACCCCACCCCTGCTCATTGGTGTGACTGAGTCACATCTTCCTGGTAGACAGCAAGGTCCTGAGGGTGGCACCACCACATGGCTGCTGCAGAGGCTGGCAGAGCCACTGGCCTAGTTAGCAGTAAACAGCTTGTTACTCAGCGTCCCCCCATGGGTCAGCGCCACACCCCAGCCCAGCACGGTCCTCTCTCTGGCAGGGCTGCTCTCCCAGGCACACCTGGAAGGCACTGGACAGCTTCTCCCGGGGGCTGGCCAGGGCAGCCAGGATGGCTGTGGTGGTGGTGCCGATGTTGGAGCCCAGCGTGAGGGGGTAGGCGCGCTCAATGCTGATCACACCCAGGCCTGGGGGGAAGAGGGGAAGATGTGGTCTCCCAGCTCCCCCTCAGCCCTTTCCCTGCCACCCCGCCCCCCACCCTGGCAGAAGCACTCACCGATGAGTGGGGTGATGGCCGAGGTGAATACAGAACT